CCTAAACAAGATATGTTCAAGACATTGATGCAGAAAATAATGAAGCATGATCATTCAGGGACTTAAAAACTTGAATAAATGGAGAGCCATATCACATTTATACATATAGACTCATTAATATACCAATTCTCCACCTGTTTTATCTGTAAACTCAATACAATGCCAACAAAAATGCCAGTAAGATTCTACATCAGTATCATAATCTGAGACTAAAATCCTCAGGAAAAAGTAAACATTCAAAAATAGTAAAAAACTGAAGAAAACAATGCTCATTCCAAGCCAAATATTGGGCATATTCTAAACTATGAAAATGAAAAGTGTTCTTGAATGCAAACATGTATAAATGGATCAATAGAACCAAACGAGAGTCCTGAAACACACCTGAACATGCCTAAGAATCTATCGCTTAAAAGTAACATTTAAGGGGCTCTCCCTGGTGGTGCAGCGGGTAAAAGCACAGCACTAAGAAGCTAAAGCCACTTCAGCATGAGTTTGATCCCCGCCCCGGAGGTGATCTGGATGGTGCAGCAGACCTCTCCTGACCTACCCGCTGCTCCCCTCAGCTGTGTACTTTGTCCATCTGCCTGTTCTGCTCCCCACTGTCTCTGGTGAATCCTCTCACTGCACCTGTACTCCAGTTCTGTATGCAAAAATAAATAAATCTTTTTAAAAATGCAGCATTTAGGGAAATGCCAGTAGAGAAAGGAAAAGAGGAAAGTATGTACACCGAAGCATGTTTTATTAGCAAAAACTTGGAAATAATCAGGTCAATAGTGAAATGGTTACTCTGTAGAAATACTATGCAATGGTGAAAGAACAAGTTAGGTTTACACATACTAACATGAAAAAGTTCTCAGACATAATGCTGGGTAAAAGTAGTAGCAGAATAATACATAAGCATAATAAAATTCATATCTTTTAAAAACACTAAATAATACTAGATATTCTTCATGTGTCTCTGTGTGAAAATATTTGTAAATAAATAATAGGAAAGGTCTGGGAGAAGTTCAGTCAAATTGAACATGGAGGGGAGGAAATCAACAATATCCAAAGGTGGTTTTAGACTTCTCTATAACATTTAATGCCTTGAAAGAAAAAATGTATTTACATGTCGTGTGTAATAAAGCCAGTAAATAGAAAACTTTAAAGCTGCATAACAATATGAGTGAATCCAGTTATGTAAAAAATTATATCTGTGTAGACATGCTTATTACTCATTTAAATGCATGGGAACAAGACTAAAGATACTCACCAAACTGTTGGCAGGTAGTTGGTTTGGGGTTTTGTTTTTTATTGTTTTTGATGCTGGAACAGCAAATAGGAAGGTAACAAAAAGGTAACTATCATAATTTACTCTTTATACTTGTGTATTTGATCTTTTACCATGAACATGTACTTGTGTATTATTAGATAGTCAAAAAATAAGACATGGGGCCCTCCCTGGTGGCACAGCAGGTTAAAGCACAGCACTAAGAAGCTAAAGCCACTTCAGCATGAATTCAAACCCCAGCGACCCACATGGCGTGACAGACCTCTCCTGACCCGCCCACTGCTCCCCTCAGCAGTGTACTTCATCGATCTGCCTGTTTTGTACCCCATTCTGTCTCTGGTCAATCCTCTCACCACCCCTGCACCTCTGGCCTGTACCCCAGTTCTGTATGTATAAATAAATAAATCTTTAAAAAAAGTAAGACATGGAAAACGAAGACACATTTTTAAGTAGGAAAAAACTAATCACCACACTATATATAGTATGATGTGTGTAATATAACATAATGTCTATAATTATTGTATTATAAATATATGTGCAGATGTATATCCCTATACAATATATGCAAGCATATTTTATTGTGCTTTATTTTTCTGTGCTTCACAGATACTGCATTTCTTTTACAATCTGAAGGTTTGTGGCAACCATTCATCAAGCAAGTTTATCAGCACCATTTTTCTAATAGCAAGTGCTCACTGGCTGTCTCTAAATTACATTTAATTTAGGTATATGCATTGTTTTGTTTTATACATAATACTATTGCACACTTAATACAATATAGTAATGTGTAAGCTTAACTCTGACATACACTGGGAAGCCAGAAAGTTCACCTGACTCACTTTATGGCTTCGTCCATTTTATTGCAATTGTCTGGATCCTGCAATATATTTGAGATATGCCTGTATCTATTCTATCATACAAGCACACAGATAAAAACTGGATTGTGACAATTTGTGTACTTTTTCTGTTTAATTATGCTTTCTAACAAGCACATAGTTCTGCACTATTTAAGAAGCATTATGATAATCATTTTGCAATATATATATATATATATATCAAATCATTATATTGTACACCTTAAACTTATACAATGTTATACATCAATTATATATAAATATAGTTGGGGGAAATACACATACAAATATGAAGAAATCTGCTCATGTTTAATTATGCTTTCTAACAAGCACATAGTTCTGCACTATTTAAGAAGCATTATGATAATCATTTTGCAATATATATATATATATATCAAATCATTATATTGTACACCTTAAACTTATACAATGTTATACATCAATTATATATAAATATAGTTGGGGGAAATACACATACAAATATGAAGAAATCTGCTCATGTCATTCACTAATTAAAACCCTTTAATAGGGGTATTTTCATTGGTCCTAGAATAAAGCCCAAATAATGAGGGGCCTGCCACCCATCCTCAGCTCACAATGCTGTCCCTTTGCTTAATACTTGTAGTCGTAACAGATGCTTTCAGTTTTTCAAGACCCTTATAAGTGGCCTTTGTACATGTAAGTTTCCTTTCCCAGGCTTTTCTTCCACCCCCACAATCCACACCATCTACCCCAATTAATCTTTCATCACTTCTTCAGGGAAGCCTTTCCTAACTTCGCAGACAGGGTTGGGTCCTCCTCTTATAAGCACTTACAGAACTCCTTCATAGCTCATACCGTTGTTTGCAGTTTTCTACTTAGAGGCGGGATTAGTAACATAATCCTTCCTCTCACTCCTATTAGACTGTAAGCTTCATGAGAGCAGAGTTCTTGTCTGTCTTGTTATATTTTGACATCTACCAAGAACTCAGTATTTGTGAAATAAATAATTGCTCTGTATTAGGGTGAACCCTGGCTTTGGTAAAGCTCAATTTCCCTCTCCATTCCAATCCTCCATCCATATAAGCAACCTCAATGACTGCAGATGAGTCACCCATCATACTAACCTCATTATTCTTTCATCCATCTCTGCTACTTCAACAATTTTTGACCACAGGCCACTTCACAAGCATTTTCTAGCCATGAGTGTTCCAGAACACCTGATAAACATGGAGATGCTCCACTTCAGAATTCCTGAACCCCACTATCACTATGTCTGGCTACCACCTTCTGTCCCCTATTATTTCTTGATTCTCAGAATTTGACTCTTCATTCTCATTAAGATCTCTCATCCTTTGACTCTTCCCATTGTTCAGCTCATCACCACCTCATTGTTTTACTCACCTTCAATCTAAGACCATGGTACAACATTTCACGCACTCTTGCTAGCAACCTCGCTGATCTTGCCCCTTTAGACCTAATATTTACCGAGCAGTTACCATGGGCTATTGGACGTGCATTATCTTTGTAACTTATCACAACAGCAGTATGAGGAAGAGCACATACTCATTCCACTTTACAGATAAGGGAAATAATTCTTAAAGAGGTGAAACAACTTGTCCAAAGTTATACAACTGGAAACTGATGGAGCTGGATAGAGTTGGGATCAAAACAAGATCTGTCTCACACAAAGGTCTGTGCTCTGAACTAGTCAGTATTTTGTCTCTCAGGGGAAAGGTAACTCTGACTCCAGTGGGGAGAATGAAGATGGAAATGAGCAAGGTGTGGAGAGTCAGGCAGCAAACCAGCTGAGAGCTGATGTTGGACTAATCATTATCTACCTGAACTTTACAAAGAATTCAGACTAGTCCCACTTACTTTACAGATGTGTGACTTTACAGATGAACTTGGTGGACTTCGACTAAGGCTCACACAGCTAAATGTGCCTACAATAAAGCAAGAAGTCAGTGATTTAACACATTCTTACAGAATAAAATCTGTACACTAACTTATCTAACAACATATACTTACAGCTAGAGATATATTTCTAGGTATGCTGCCATTATTAACTGCTCCTTGTGCTAGGAATATATTATGGTCTTATTTCTACTTCCAACAACTCTATGAATGAGCACATCCCTAATTTTGTAAATGATGAAAAGGAGTCACAAGAAGATCATGAAAATTGCATCAGTTCACATAATGAGTTCAAGACAAAGATGGGATCTTCCAGTCACCCAAAACAAAGTCTCAGTCTTAGAGTCACACTCCCCACTCTACACACAGGTTTTTGTGATTCTTGGGAACTAGGGAGGAAGAGACAATCAAACATGGACACATATCTCACAGCTCCTACCTGCAAGGAGCTGTGCAGCAGACTTGAGGGGTGTGCTATGATAGGGAGTGGGGGTTAGTGGGGGTTGGGAAAAGGGTTTTGTTGTATCCAGCACCATGGTCTTATGGGGAAGGGCATGGAGGACACACACCATGTCCCAGAGGAACAACAAAACTAACCTCTAAGCCACACCAAGACCAGGATGGGTCCACAAACACAGTAGTCAACAGTTCCATCACCTGTTCCATTTCTTCTCTTACTAAAGCAAAAGAGCCCACCAAATACTAGGGTAAGTTCCTAGTTTTCCTCTCCTCTTCATCATCTGGGATCTAGAGACAAATCTAGTTCAAATCCCAACTCTACCCAGCTCCATCAGTTTCTGTCATCTGGCCCCTGTCCACGGGCCCAGGAAAGCTCTTCCATTTGTTGTCGTTGTTAAGGAGACAATAGGTTTCTTCAGATTTTCCCAAGGGTTCCCCTCCTACTAGTTCGCCACACCCCAAAGAAGTTAAGAATCCTGACTTTTCAGCGCAGTTAACCAGAGCGTTTGGGACAACTTTACCTCAGGCCCGCATGCACGCAGTCTGTCCCAGCTCCCGCGTTTGTCAGCAATTCTTCCCTTCCCCCTCCCCCCAGGCACGCCTGCACGCACGCACTCCACACGCACGCACCAACGGCACGCACCCCACGCACGCTCTGGCAAGCCTCACGCACACCCCTAGACGTAGTTGCGCACATGCGGTCACACACCACGCATCTCCACATCGGCCTCTGTACACCCCACCACCCATGCCAGCCTTAAGAGCCTCTCCCCTCGCCGGTGTCTGACGCTGTGGTACGGCCGAGACTTCTCCCGCCCCCAACCTGGCAGAGCCGGCAGCCCCTCCCAGGCGCACGGAGTTCACCCGGTCCAAACCCGCACCCGCAGGCTGTCCCGACTGGGCAGCCACTTCCCTCCTCACGTCCCAGGAGACACCGGGCGGGTGTGGCACCTCCCACACTGGCCGCCAGGGCCTGCAGCCGACAGGGAACCGGGCAGCTCAGCCCGCCGGAGCTGGAGCACCCTGGTTTCCGGTCCCTCCCCTGGGGGCGCAGACGGGACGGTTGGCCGAGGGCCCGCCTTTCTCTGCCTCGCCGGGGAAAGTGCTCACCTGGTTCCCAAAGCAAGTTTGCCTTTCCTCGACTTTCTGCCAGCAGGAAGGGATTTCGAGAGAAAGCCAAGGTCTTTGGGGCGGAGAAGGGGAAATGACTCAGAGAGGAGGCGGCTCAGAGGGAGGGGCCGGCTCGGAAAGGGGGTGTGTGGGAGTGTGTTGGAAGGTGGCAGGAGAGGGGGCTGGAGGTGAAGAGGTCAAAACTGCCTCCGGGAGGCTTTGCGGATGCCTGGCACAGTCCTGGGTATCCTGCCTGTCAACTTGGAATCCTGAAGCTCCTGGGCTGGGTCATTTCCTCGTGTGGGGTCTGAAGTTCCTTTAGGTCTTGCCAAAGGCAGCTATGGCCAAGGCCCTTGCCAGCAGCTCACCAGAAGGCACCAGGGAATCTGCTGGTGGAGCTAAGGCACAGGAATTAACTCTTCATGCTCTGTGGAGCTAATGATAGTCTTTACCTCATAGGACTGCTGAGAGGATTCAATGAATTACTACATCTCAAGTGCTTAAGAGTAGTGTCAGTCAGGGACAGGGAAAACAATGATCGCTTTTATTATAAAAATATCCGTTCACTATGGTTTGTCACCCTTCAATATTATGAGTCTCACGAGGGTAGAGACTATGTGTCCTATTCGTCACACTGGACTTCAGTACCTAAAGTTTATCAATAAATTATTTGTTAAATGAATAATAAATAACTTGGACTAGTGGCTGTGCCAAGAATATCTTCTCTGTAACATACAGGACGTGTTTGTGGGAGCTTGAAAAGGAAGGCTATGATTGGGGAAGGTGGCATACAAGACCTCACTGGATGCTACATCAGGTGACTTACTCTGCCTTTGGAAAATAGAATGTCTTTTTCATTTTCCATGTTCCATGGAGACATGGAAGACTGCCAGACAGCTGCCTAATTTGAAACGGAGACAGAGCTAGCTATAGCAACATTTGTTTGAGTAAAGCAGGATAGGGGAGAGGACTACAGTTGAAAGCTCAAAAACAATTGTGGCAAATGACTGTAGAAGACATTGCTAGGGGAGGTTTGAGTGAATGGGAGTGTGTACAATGGATACAAGTCACCCCAAGATTAATCCGATGCAGGTGCTAAAATAACAAAAATAACGATAACACTCTCCTCCTCTCCTAGTCATAGGGTTCCCTGTGATCCAATGTTCTTGGTGTAGGTATGCAAATTACTCTTACTACTAGGTGCACTAAATTTGCACTTACACAAATTCATACTTCGAGGGCTAGAAGGGACCTTAGAAATTTATTTTAAGTCATAGCTGAAAACATACGATCCAGAGAAAGCAAGACTTGAGCTTTGGAATTCTCTGGCCTTGGTACTGAATCTTGCAGGGTTTGCACTTGCTGTGTCCCGTTCTTCTTTTAATCCCTGCCTCACTCCATCCCACCCCCAGAGACTGAGAAGAATGAAAAGAACTAAAAAGTTAGTAGGAGAGGAAGGAAGCAATTCCCCAACAGACCCTGACTCCACTTGCTTTTGCCTATCTCCAGGGAAGGTATCTGGGACTTCAGCTAACTGCCTTAGAAGAGCTCCGCCTTGGTTCCCTGGCAATATTTGCATTGTTTCCATTGGGTCCGCAGGTAGAAAGCTAGAACTGCAGGCTAAGAGAAGTCTTGGCACACCACCACCTCTGATCCTCCTTGAAAGGATGAGGGCCTGAAAGGGGCAGCTTCAAGGCCATGGCTTGCTCATGCCTGTATCTCCCCTGTTTTGGGGAAGCTGACATGAGAGGTTTTCACTGCTTCTTACATCTTGGGTTGCTTGAGATAACACTTCTTCCTCATTTATCCCCCTTGGAATAGAGTGACAGAACATAAAGTTACTTTGTTGCAGTCTAGAACTGGCTTCTTAGCAATGGGATATGGGCTACCCTACAACTGCCTATGATCCTTTTGTTTCAGTGTTGTCCTTTTTGGACTTTGGGACAAGGGCCATTAAGAGCAGGAAACTCATTATTTTTTTCCTTTCACTATGTAAACAATAAGATGATTCTAAAATTGATTCACTGTATTTTTACCTGCTGAATCAAGGCCTTGAAAGTAGCCTGGTATTGTGTGCTTAATAGCTGTTTGCTATTTCAAGTATATCACAGTACTCTCCCCTATCTTTGAGGGAGCTGAACTGGACAAAAGGACATGTACGACATAGTGGCTTTTTCCTTCCACTGCACATCAAGATAAGCCCTAATTCCAAATTCCAAACTGGCTGGAGGAGTAGCAGTTAGTTTGGCCTTGTATTCTGTGTACCAGGCTATAACCCATAGTCATTCTCAGTAGCTCTCTTGTTCTCCATACTTCCAATCTTTGCATTATATTATTCCTAATCTCTGTAAAAGACCACCTTGTCCCACCTACTTTCACTGAGCTTTAAGATCAACCCTGTTCTTAGGTGGGGGAACATCAAGCTCCAAGTCTGCTCTAACCTGGCACATTAAATGGAACCAGCCTTTTCAAACATCTTACCCTCCCCCCCCAAACATATAAAATTTTGTGTATAATAACCCTATATTTGACTTTTATCCAGGTTACAGTCCAATTGGACCACTAACCCTCCTTATTCCAAATTCTTGTCTTTTTATATTTTAAGCCTTTGGGCCATAGTTACTATGGGCTCTCGGGCTGGCAAAATGTTTCAAGACACTGGCTTCATTTCACTTTGGGTACCCACTTTAGTTTCCACAACTCTTGTTAGAGTGAAGGTACACTATTGAGATATTACATGCTTCATTGCAGGCTACCACAATAGAGTATTTCAATAAAATAAATCATATGAATTTTTTGATTTCCAGGTGCATAAAAAAGTTATGCTTATACAATACTACAGTCTATTAAGTATGCAATTAAACATTATCTAAAAAAGCTAATGTATATACCATCACTAAACATGAGACAGGAAGTGAGCATACGCTATTGGAAAAAATGATTCCCACAGGGTTTCTCCATACAAGGTTGTCACAAATCTTCAATTTGTTTTTTTTTAAATAATGTAATGTGCAAAGCATGATAAATTGACATGCAATGAAGTCTTGATATGCCTGTTTGACCAAGTGCAACCATCAGGGACCTCCTCTAACTTTCCCAGCCTCCTCCTATACGCTGGGACCTCCTATTGGTGTTTAACAGCAAGTCTGCTCACTGGATTCTGGCCTTTACCCCCACAATCATTAAACTCGAGTACTGGGATTTTCTTTTTTCTTCTTTAATTCTCACGTTCTCCTCTAATCTCTGGAATTGAAAGTGTCATGTCTCTTGAGGCCTTATACTTTCATTTGCATAGTCTTCCTTATTGAATTCTGCTCCTGAAATCAAAGCATTTGTTTTGGATCTCGTTTCTAGATTCCCAGATCTTTTCCATCCAAATCTCTGCTTTTTATGATAATTTCCTCTAAGTCAGACAATTCCGGTACCTTTTGGCCATGTTGCCCCAATTAAATTCCAGTAGAAAAAAACCAAGAACTCACGAATACATATATATTTATTTATTTCATAATATAGCATTTTGGATGGGCTGGGATATTTTTGAGGGATGAGGCTGTTTAATTTGCAGATGCTCAGATTTGTCACTAGGAGGGACACTCTTGTCTGAAACTCCCAGTACAAATAAGCCCGGGGTAAAGCATTTGATAAAAAATAATCCAACCATAGTCTAATAAATATTTTTAGCCCATAACAACACAGCTTTATGTCTGAAGCCAGCAAACCAAACCTTAAAAGGCAGTTTTACCTGACCTGATGGCAGTCAGCCTGCTCAACCTGTAACACACAGCCAAATATAGCCCAATGGGTCTGAGGGTACAAATGGCTTCAGGAATTGAAATAATGGCAGGAGTGGTTCTTATCAATCAGCCGCACCTTCTCCATTCTGTGGAGGAAAGCATATCAAATATTTGATGTGAGCTTATCAAAAAGTCCATCCATGGATTGCTCCATCCAGGTAGTCATATATAAATATGTAAACCATGGAAGTGTAGAAAATTCACCTAGTGTATTTAAGCTGAAAAGAACATCAGTGACTTTGCTATAATCTGAATTTCACTGCATCCAAATTTACACAATGGAATTACATGATAAAAATACATCTAGATGCAGTTACTCTTACAAGTAGGCAGAATTTCATTATGACATTAAAATTTTTCATATTTTTAAAGCAGGTTTGATTTTATTTTTTATTATTTTTGTGCTTTCTTCAATAAGATCATATAAAAAGTGGAAACAAGCATCAATTGCAGACAGAATGAAAACATTTGTAGCAAAAAATATTTTGGGGGAACAGATGGAGCAGCACAACAACAAAAATGTATGGTGTCACCTTCCCTAAGATGCTAAATACAGGTCCTATTCCCTTTGTCCAACTGTGTTTAGGCAGAACTAGTCAACAACTTCTGTTAAGGTCCCTGGCATTGCCAATATTCTACAAAAGTCTCCTCTGAATACTCTGCTACCACGTTGTTTCTTGGAAAGCACTTTTTACTATTTGACTTAGAAACTTTAAGAATCCAGACCCAGTCTAATGTCCCAGTTTATTCGGTAAGCTTGGCTTTGAATGGTTTTTGCTTATAACCCAACCTTAAATTCACTTTCAAGGAAGGAAGTTTGAAAAGACTGAAAAGTTATTGAAAAGAATAGTGCTAAATGCTCCAGACATTTCCCCAAGATAACTTCCAGAGAATTCTGGAGGATGACAATGCTCATTATATGTATGCATCCTGGGACATCTGCAAAACAATACCAATAAGACCCAATGGAGAAGTAAACAAGCTTTGCTGCCCAGGAAGTAACAAATACCAGTATGGATATCAGAGTACAAGAAGGAAACTTTGATTATTCATTTGTTCATTCATACATTCATTTAATAAACATTAGCCAGGTGACTATTCTGCTCCACTTACTATTCCTCGTGTTAAAAGTACAAAAGAAGACACAGTCCCTCTCCTCAAGACATTCAGTCTAGTAGGGAAGATGGCATTTATGTCAAACTTCTCTGTGCATCAGAATTACCTGGGGAATGTAACATTCCATCTGTGTGTCCAGATATTCGAATGGGGTGTAGGAATCACCTGTTTTAACAAACACGAAAGGTAATTCTAACATAGGTGGTCAGAGGACCACACATTGAAAAACAACTGGTATACAATGTGATTATTGCTGAGAAAGAGGGTGGTCGGGATGCCATGAGAGCTCTGTAGGGAACCAAGGGTTTGGACAATTAAGGAATCAGGAGCTCTGTAGAGAACAGTCTAGGAGGTCAGAAGCTAATCTGGTTGAGAGGGTTGGTGGTGAGAAAGTCCAGACTACGAGTTTAAGTCTGGTGGGGAAATTTAAACACTGTCCCAGGGCACTAACATCTAGACACAAAAATTCATGGCCTGGGACACCCAATGTCAAGGTAATGGAAACTGGACTAGGGCAGAGGTGGAATGTTCTGCCTTATGGCATCCTCTCACTATCCCCTTAATGTAAGAACAATTTCTACTCTTTTGTATGGGCATCAAAATTGTTCCTAGAGAACAACTTGTGTGAGTTAAGCCTGATTCCAGTAACCACTGTGTGGGGGGAAGCCAGTGAGAAGTTGGGAAAACAGGGACCTGAAAAGCCAGACCCGTAGTGTGGGACCTTCTACTAAATATGTCACTGGAGTCAGTGAAAAGATACATAAAGGAGTGGGCGACATAGTTTATTTTGTTAAAGAATTTGGGGACAGGTCCGAGAGACCAGGGTACTTTGGAAGAAAAGGGCATACATTTTAAAACACAGCCACACTGTGGGTTGGGGCTAGCTGAGGAGACTCATCTTTGCTGCACTTACTAAATGCCAGGCACTATGCTAGGCTGTTTCCATATGTTCTCTTTTTTAATCTTTGTAACAACAGTCTTGTGAGGTAGGTATTATTTTACAAAAGAGGAAACAGAGGCTCAGAGAAATGAAATATTTGTCCTAGGTCACACAGCTTAGTAAATGGCAGAGGAACTACTATTACTTTAATCCAAAAGGGTATGAGCTTTCCGTTACAGGAAAGTATATCCCAATACCACTGAATTTTACTGAGCTCGAGCATTTCCTGATTAGCAGTAACACCTTAAAAAAAAAAAAAAAAAGCAAACAAGCTGACTTTGCTACTACATATGTATGTTTAAGCCTCCCATCTTCCCATCTGTATCTGCATCAGTCTTGTTTCCCATGTTGGGTAAACAAGTAATACATAACTGCTAGGAGGGAATTTAGTTCGATGTTTTGTCTATAACATTACAGAATGGTAAGCCATGGGAACTGTGTTTCATCAATGTTTCAGCAGCAGTATGGTACCTGGCATCTAGTAGTTTGTTAAATGAATTAATCAACGAACATCCAGGAAGAAGGGAGAAGATTTGGCATTGTTCCAGGGCTCCAATCTGGGGAGATGTTATACAGATGTCATTTTGTACAACAGAAATATTTTCACAATCCCCAAGGAGTTGACTTCTTGAAGCACACATAGCTCCTGGAAAGGACCAAGCTCTGGTTCTGACATCTCCAACCCCTGCAGTGGAATTATCAAAAGCACAGTCCATAAAGCAACTATAGCAATCAAGACTAGGATGTATGTAGTCTATGCCTGCATTTGCCAGGAAGGGTGGCTATGTAGATGAATAGTGTGAACAAGATAGTGAGAGGAATGATTATTTAGCCTGTTTAACAAAACTGCTTTCAGGTACTTTAAGCACTTCAGAAGTGTTTTACCTAAAATACAAGCATATTTATTTATATGCAAATAGTTGTGGCATCTCTAACACTCCATTCTTACTGATTAAGTAAATAAATCAGGTTCCTAAAGAACCTCTTCTTTTGTTAACCTAATTCTAGTAACTGTATGTACTTCAGGTAATAAACCTATATTTCTTTGAAATATTCTGTGGCAATTTTTTAACAGTTCAGAGAAACCCCACTGCTAACACAGTGGATGTGTGCTACGTGGCATCTCGTGTGCAACCCTGTCCCCCAGCCTCTCCTTACTGAACCTGGCGCTCTTCCCACCATCTATGTCATTAGTGCACGTGTATGTCCATGCGCCAGGAGGGAAGAAGGGAGGGTAGGGGAAATGTTCATTGATGTTGATATCCCTTTAGGGGACAACAATGGATGGTATAATTGATTTTTTCTTCCAGTATATTTCTCACTTAAATGAGCAAATTGAAAGTTTATGTATATATATTTATAAAATGAATATATACTAGACTATTTATTCATTTTATGTTATATATACATATACATGTTTTCTTTATAATAAATCCTTGATTTCTATTATTTATCAAAAACTACATGTAATACGTGATCGTCTGACACTTCAAAATCCCACTTGGCTAAATTAGCCAGTACTAGAAAGGTTGATGCCCCTTTTCACCTGGCTAGCCCCTTAATTAGAACATCCTGCTACATTATTTACTTAGAAATGCCCTAGTTCCTTCCAGCATTAATTATACTCTGAAAGCATTGGGGATTTTAAATTTTCCAATGAAAAGATGAATTCCCTAAATTTTGTCTTCAATGGCCTGAAACCAGACTACTCAGATAATTTGTTCTGCGGAACTCAATGCATTAATTCCAATACAAGCTTTAATGCACAAAAATTAAATCTGTAATATCTAATTATTTGGGATGCTTCAAATAAACTTTATTTTGTATCTAATATATCGAACACTAACTGAAGTTTAGGAGGGAAGAACTGCTGAACTGGAGAGCCAGTGAATTCTATGCCCTCTTGAAACTTAATGGCAAGCTTTCATCCCAGAAACATAAGGGGATTCTTGAGGCCTGCAGTTGCATTCCTGACGCTCAGGGTAATCAATAAAATCTGGGGCAGGCAAGCCAGACAGGATCATTAGGGATTTGTTCCAGATTGTGAATGTTGGACAAACTGGCAAAATGAAGGTCACATCAAAAGTATGAAGATGGAGAGAGTTAGCTGGGTCATAGAAAGACAGCATGTTGTTGTCATAATCCAGAAGGACACCCAGACGTTTCAACTGCGGGGGTACATCCACCAACATTTCCTTGTTGTTATGTCTCACTACGAAGTTACTGTTGCATCGGGAGAAGACCCATGAGGAAGCGTTCTTGCCAATCCACTCATTCTTGGGAGCTGATTTGTAGGCAATACCAATTGCATACCTGTGACACAGCAGAAAGGAGAGAAATAAGCCTTATTAATAATCTGAATTATGCTATCCAGCACATAGCATAGAAAATATATTTATTTTTCATTTAGATCCAAAATGCCAATACCATTAGAGTTTTAACAAGATAGCAGTTAGAATGATACAGTGATTTCAAATTTCCAGCCCAGCAGATTTCCCATGATTTTGTTTTTAAAAGCACAATAGATTTTTCTCCGGCTGGTTTTCAACATGTTTTTATCCTTGACTTACTGGTATTGTATTTGTGCAGAATTGAATGTCCCAGGAACCTCACAAAGGGAAGAAAAGAGAAAAGAAAAAGTGGCATCTACTCACCATGTCGAGGAACCCATGACCACTTCCCAGTAGTGGCAGCCACTGTCAATGAATATATTTCCTGCGGCCCCATAGCACCCTGTGCCACTAAACCTCTCTGGGGTATGACTCTTTTTCAGAGAGCTCTCATCCTTCTCCATCTGCAGTCCATCATTAGAGATCTTCAACTTCTTGTGAGTCATTTTGGGATCCAGTTTAAAGGGTTGGCCTGAAAAAAGCAGAAAAAGGACACATGAGGAAGTAGTTACAAATTCCATCTTTGTTCTGCAGCACCATCAGCAGCAGCAGGGGAGCCTTGATATGTTGGCATTTCTGGGCCCCTGCAAGTTGGCTGTTTGTATTAATGAAGCAGACCAAATGCCACTATTTTCAATAAAATAAGGATGAGTGCCCTCTTCATATACTGTCAAATTAAAAGGGGGTTCTAGGGCCTCAGATTCTCCAAATAGGTTTTATACTTTGATTTAAGTTGGTGGATTGGGAGTTGAGCAGATTTTAGGGTAAGGAGAGCTTGAGGTGGACACAAAGTGAGGAGGAATTGATGAAGCAATTGCTGTTTGGTAGCAGAACGAAAAAAAAAACTGAGAAGAATTCAGCAGCAATAGGACAATATTTTGCCCTCTAACAATGGGGTATATCAATAACATGTAACACATAACTAAGAACCATCTTTGGGGTCACTGCTGCATCATGAATGACCAGAGAAAACATGTTGTGGGGAGCGGAGCATTATAACAGAGAATCCCTCATAGTCACATAGCAAAGGCACACAAAATACACCTGTGGCGAACACTGGTGGCAAACACAAGACCCATCTCCGACTTTTTCATCTTTTACTCCCTGTCACTAGAGGCCAGAAAAGCTAACTAGTCAAGCTCCTAGCCTCCCTCGTTGCTAGGTATGGCTAATGAAGTGGGGACAGGTGGGAGAAGTCAGGTTAGAGGAAGCCTGTGGGAAACTGCCCGTTTTCCTGAATAGCTATCACGTGAACCAACACTTTTCCCTTCTTCCTGTCTTGAAAGAACTGTGACATCTAAAGGCTGCTGTGTCCATGTGCCAGTAAGCCAATACACAAAAGGGAAGAGCCTGAGTCTTTTATGACAACAGAACACAGTGTGTGTGTATGCATATACATACCCGGCATATTTCTGTAAGTTTTTGTCACTTCCAGTTGTAAAATAACCTGTCATGGCTTTTAATGTAGATCATCATATGTACAGCAACTTCATATAACTTAATAGAGGACTGTTTTTCTGAGCTAGTTGATATTTTTTTATTCCAGTTTATGATAACGCACAGCAATGTGATGTGATAACATCACATGCAGCACCAGCCCTGAACCCCTTACCTTTAAACTTCTTTCCACTTGAGAAAGATGTTATTTAAGCTGCTAACAGATACTGTTAAGCCGAATTAGTTGGTTTTGTGGCACTTGTAGTCAAAAGCATTCCTAATCGTTGTAGTAGCTTCTCTGCAGTAAGATTTTACCAGATTATTACCCTGAACAGGGGGGGTGGGGTGTAGAGAGAACTTCCCTAATACCCTTCCAAGTCATCAGCCATGTTATGTATATCTGTATCCACATATGTCCCAGGGAGAGAAACGTACCCCTTACCCAAAATATAAAGTACACCAGCAAAGCTTCTCTTGCCAGGGCCTCTACTCTCCTGCCTGCACTGGATGCTAGGTGAACTCCCTGACATGGAGGAGAAGCTGATTGCTCCTTTAGAATCATCACAACGTACTGTTTGTTTTTAGTCGGGTAGGTTCACTGTTCCGGCTGCCTGCTTGGTTTATGGCTTTAACAATGAAGATGTAGCGCGTCCCACTCTGCAGTCCATGTACTGTATAATGGTTCTGTTTAATGTTGGGCACAATCATCCAGCTATCCACTGAATTATACAGGCCTGTGACGTGTGGAAAGACAAGAACATTAACCAGCAGGTAATGGAGACAGGATGAGAAGCACAGTCAAAATTCATCAAGGTCACCCCCCAAAAATGTAAATTTCATTTTGTTTCTAGTACTGGAGGACATAGTTTCTTTTGTCCTAAGAGAGCTAGGCTTAAGCCAGGCTCCTCGCTTCTGACAATTGACCATTGCCACTGATGAAAGTTAAGATACTTCAATTTTCTGCCAAACAGTATAGGAAAGGTCACCATACAAAAAATAAATCACTGAATCATTACTTTTATGGGGTCTCTAGATCTTTACCCCAGCAGTCCAATCCTCTGAGAACTGAGAGCCTGGCCTTGTATGGGTGAAGAAGTTCTGCACAAAGCACAGGTACATGGAATCTCAGGGTCCAGAGGACACCTAGACAACATAGTTCCCTCATTTTACAAATGGAAAACAAAGATCCCGAGAAGAAAAGTGACTTGCCCAAGGCCACAAGTAGCTAGTGATGGTGCTAAGATTCTGGTCTCTAATCCTACCCCAGTGTAATCTCCACTGCATCACTAGTCATGGGATGAGCAGCAACATTCCTGTCTCTACAACACAGAGAAGCTTTCAGGGCTTATGACTCTACTACCCCTCCTCACTTTCACTTTCAAACTATGGTTCCAAGCTATCATGGGGAAGTCAAGGAGATGGCATTATAACCAAAGGGAAACAGCATCTCCTCAACACTACATGGTTTCGCCCCTTTCTTTGATTCCAGTACTCATTCAAGGCTGGAGGATCCAACAGCACTTTGTTATCTGGAACCTTCTTGCCTTCCAAGTAGAGAAAGGGACTAGAGATGTAGGTTTCTGTTTTTGAAGCTGTTTAGACCATACATATTTACTTAGAGAAAAATTTATATAATTAAAAATATATATTTGGCTAACTTTTAGTAAAAATAGGATCAATATGCTAGTCTATGGATTATCTTAACTTCTGTTATTTGCTTCTTGGTCAGTTTTCCACTTTTTAACCACAACTGTGAGGGGGGGGGGGGAAGAAATACAATTGGTCAATTTAGCCAGATATGCAGCTGTAGTACAAAACTTAATGACGTGAAAAATTAAAAATAGCAATTTTTATTTTAACAAGTTGAAAGAAATCTGATCAGGAAGGTTTTATATAAATTTGGATGGGAAGTGAAAATTTAATGCAGAGAAGAAATTCCATGATCTTCCAGATAAACTTCCAACAATACAAAACAAACTGAAAAACAAATTTCACAATGAAATACTATGCAGCTTTTGAAAAAAAAAATAAATGGGAAAGGATCTCTATTAACTGACATGGAGTAATTTCCATAGTAAACTGCAAAAGACATTTATAGTATGGTATTATTTCTGCCAGAAACAAAGACAAATAAAATGTACAAGTATTTACTTGGATTTCCAAAACAATAGCAATAGGAAGAGAAAATCAGAAAATAATTAAACTTGGTACCTATAAGGGATGCGGGTGAGGGGAAGGGATTAAAAGGACATGGAAGAGAATATACCCTTTTTATACAGTATTTTATTTTGGAAACGCACTGTTGTTTCATAAATTCAGAATATTAAAATGAAATCAATATGAATGAGAAGAGTGGGGACAAAAAGTAAAGACAAACCAAAACAAATGAACTCAACTGCATTTCAAATGAAAAACCAACCACACCAAAAGGATGCGGGCAGGAGGAGAATGGCAAACAAATCCTGAACTATTGTTTGTTTCCTGTAGTGGCATGGGCAACAGGATTCTGTAACCATTTTAAATATACGATGCGACTGAGCAAATGAGTACGTACACTGATGCTGTTGACAGTCACGGTTCTCACTGATGAAATCGAAAAATACAAACATAGAATGAAAGTATCTGTGGGGGATACACTGAGATTGGAGATACTGGTATGAACTCACAATTTCTAACATGCACAGAGTGTACATACACCTATATATGCACATGTTAAGCATGTGTGAACATGTGTGTGTGGGGTATATGTTTATGTGTCTACTAATATCATTCCCTCACTAAAAAAACTAGAATTTCTTGGAAAAATGGCTGATTTGAAGGCTAGGGCATGGTTAAGATAAAAATGATCCTAGAACCATTTCTTACTCTCAAAATTAAGGAGGGAAAGACACGTATAAGAACATGATGGGAGAACATAAAGAGCTATGAGTCAGCTTGAAGGGTTCCCACTGGCTAAATCTGGCCATTCTGAGCACCAAGATAAGTAAGCACAGAAAAATACTGTAAACTATTGAAAAAAAGAATTTATGAGTTTATATAGATAATACATAGACACACAAATGTAGGGTGGGATTCTTGTTTACCGTAAATGCTAGTGTGCCAATTTGAAAGTGTGGCAGGGAGTACTCCATTGGAAAAACCACCATTTTGTAATTATTACAGTAAACACTGGATCAGACAAGAGTTATTAATATTAAAACATGAATGGGAGTTCCATGCACTTGATGAGGATGCAGGATAAATCCATGGACTTAAAGTTGCACTGCATAGATTACTTTGCACAGATTTCTTACTTAGTTGCCAAAAAAATATTAATTATACAATTTTAAAAAAAAGAATCAGGCTGCATCTTTCACCAAAATTAAAATCAGCATCACCAACAAAGGGCAAGAGGACACTGTGTATCTCCAGATGATGCCCTAAGGAGGACACAACATCTCTTATTTATTATTCTAGTCATGAATGCATAATCTGAATATAATCATAAGGAAACATCAGACAAACTCTAAATAAGGAACAACATAATTGAAATAAAAGAACACTTAAAAAATACCAATGGCATTAAAAATTCTTGGTTAGGAAGGCTGGAGATATGTCAGGTAAGGAGAATACTTGATCCTAGACTTTAGAGAATGACAGTGTGTGTGTGTGTAGTAAAAACAATTTGAAAGTTAAAAAAATAAAATAAAAACTAATTTCATAAAAAATAGGTCCTTTACATGTTATAAAGGATATTATTGGGTCTGTCAAAATTGAAATATGAATAATGGACTAGATAAAAATATTGTAACAACATAAATTTCTTATATTTGGTAACTACTGTGTGGTGTTCTAGGAGAATTTCTTTATTCTTAGGAAACCCACACTGAAGAATTTAGGGGTGGAAGGTCATGATGTATACGACTTGCTGTCAAATGGGCCAAAAAGTTGAGAGCTAGGGTTCGCAAACAACAAGGGAATGGAGCAAATATTAACAATGGATGAATTTGGTAAAGGGTATGCATGTTCTCCGTGCAAGTCTTGCAGCTTTTCTGTAATTTTGAAATGATTTCCACCTAACATTATCTGAATGACTGTCATGTAAAAAATTGGATTAAGTTTCTTAGTGAGGCACAAAAGGCCTGGACTAGGACTAATTGGTAGTTGTGGTTTAATTCAAGGAGCATTAAGCTTGAAGTATGACAGTGACAGGCTTGGATTCAAACTTGACTTCCTCAGTTAGTAGCTCTATGACGTTGGGCAACTCAATTAACTTGAGCCTAAGTTTCTTCATATATAAAATTGAATTATCGTCATCTATTTTAAGGCTAAATAACAACACATGGGTAGTAAATGAGGTCATGTATGTGGCAACGTTTGTAAATAGCAAGGTAAATTATTGGAATTATGTCATGCAACTAATTTTGCAAATTATTTTTATTATTTAATAGGAATAGGAGTAAGGGCTTTTATATAGAAGGACTGATAATTACTTATAGCTGCACAATAGTTAAATGAGCTCTTTTGGTAGAAGTGAGCATCCCATCACAGGAAGTGTTCAATCAGAGACAGGAGAATCGTCTACTTATGAGGTGTCTGGTAGAAGGGTAGGTTAAAGTTAGGTAACTTCTAAGGTTACTTCCAATTCAAAGATGCTATCTTACCACTATGAAGAATTTTCCTTTTAAGCTTTTCTTTACAAAGGACTACACATCCTTGATAACAGAGGTGACTGCCTATGTATCTTTGTCACTTCTTGCACTTATTCTCAACTTTCAGGAGACCACTGCTCTCCCCATATCAGGAAAGAAAAGCGCAGTTTCTGACTCTAAGACCTTCCATAGCAGAAGAGGTAAGCGCAGACAAGTATGTTGGGGAGACTTTAGAGTTTGTGACTTCACAACATGAAGAAACACCCAGGAATACAGCTACCTGGGCCAAGTGGCTTAAGTTGGAGCTGCACGAGGCAAGTGTTTTTTTAGAGTTTGACCCCAAATGTCCTCTCCCCTCCCCCACTCAGCCATGCGGCTTAGAATTGTCTCAGAACAGGAAAAGGAAGTCTATCAAGAGGGTTTTGTTGGAAAAAGTCCTCTCGTGTGGGCCTGTGACATCAGAAACGAAAGCACAAGCACAAAGGTAGACTATGCTGATCTGTAGCTACACAGATGCAACCTTAGGGTGGGAATGAGTTCAAGTCTTGAATCCAACTTTAACTCTGATTCATTTCCACTTTTATCCAGCTCATTGAGAAGAATTTGCAGTTTGGCCTCTCTGGTGTGCCTTGTGTTGCTCCAATTTATCAGAAGGTAAAACTACAATATGTGAGCTAAATGACTGCTTTTTGAACATGTTTCATTTTGCGGCCCCTGACACATTTTTATATTCAGTGCAATTTTCGAAGGAAGTGGAGATGGGATCCAGAGAAGAACGGGATCCAGGAGAGTGACAGAAGCAGGAGATTTGTCACTATATTCACTGATACAATGGGTGGGGTAAAGGAAGTAGCAGTCTTAACATAACATATTTTACCATGATAATGAAGTGGAAAGTCAAGCAGAGAGATGTTCACACACATAGATAGTATCAGCAATGATGGTGGCTTAGCTACCCAGGAATGAATTCTGAACTGTGTTCTGCCTTGGGAGAGGGGAGTGACATGGATTGAGGAAAATATAAGCTTTACATACAGAAATGGGAGTGGCCCCAGTGACTGCCCAGCAAGGAAATACACAACTTGATTGTCACCATCAGTAAGGATTTTGCAATGCCCTGAGGGAGCTTACACTGTCTATGAGACACCTAACATGTCTATGAAACACCTAACATGTCTTACAAACACTTGCCTCGTGGAGCCCCGGCCAATCTTGAGCAGCTTACTGCTTCCTTACATTTCCTTATCTCTGGCCACAGGCCCCAACTACACCATGACTTACTGATGAAGTTAGCCTGGCCAGTGAATATGGTGTACTGAAGCTCATAGGAGCTGATGCTGAACTCATCATCCGAGATCCAGTGGACTGTAATGGTGTCATGGGAGGCAGTACAGAGTTCCTCTCGGATAGATGGTGGGTTTGGGGCTGTAAGGAAAGGTAAAGAAAAAAGTGAGAAAAGCACACTCTCTGTTCTAGAATTGTACAATCATTGCTCTTGTTGCCCAACCCAACATCTTGTAGAGAGGAGGTTTTCTTAACAAGAAGCTCTATCTTGGCCCTCCCTGGTGGCTCAGCAGGCTAAAGTGGAGCACTGCAAGCTAGCTGCAGCTGCTTCAGTGCGAGTTCAATCCCCAGCTCCAGAAGTGACCATATGGTGCGGCAGATGTCTCCTGTCTCGCCCGCTGCACCCCTCAGCAGTGTACTTCGTCAGTCTGCCTGTTCTGCTCCCCACTCTGTCTCTGGTGAATTCTCTCACCACCCCTGCACCTCTGACCTGTACCCCAATTCTGTATGCATAAATAAATAACTTATTTATTTATAGAAAAAGCTCTATCTTATATGCACCACACAACTTGCAGCAAAGTGCTCAGACCCCAAGTTCCCTTGAGCCACACTGGTTTCAATGATTAAGATATTTTAGGCAAAGATGTATGTATAAGTTATGACTGCCCCACTGTCTACTCTGACTATATAAACACATACATAGTGACTAGAGCAAAGTGTTTATGTGGTTTTCTTATTAAATGACCCTCAATCTAATTTTTTATTTCAAAATAAGTGTTGTATACTTTTATAGCAATATAAAAGCAAGTGCAAATCAGTGAGTTTTCTCATCTGTAAAATGGGATGATCATTATCCCATAGATTTATTGTGAGGATTTATGTTAAAAAATTAATATAGTTTGGGAGAAAAGGAGATGTTCAACAAATGGTGGCCATTTTAATATATTAACAAAAGTAGCTACAAATGTAACATGGTTGTGTACATATTTCTTTTTCAAAAAATGGTAACTCACAGCATTTTTAACAGGTTGGTTGTACCCCTCATTTTCTAAAATTGTACAAACGCCAGGTATTCTTTACAGTTCTTTCTCTAATCTGCTAATTCTTAAATTTCCTTAAAAGCATGTGAGTGGTACTTACTCACATAGGACATTCTCTGATATTCCCTAATTGCCATTTGTGTTCTAGCCCCACAAATAGTAACAACATACTGATGATAGATTGATAAGGAGAAATCCATCAACAACTTGGTTTTTTTAAATTTTAGGACAGATAGTATGCCCATTCTACACCCAGAAATATTTGACAAATCATCTTTCTTTTCTATTACATGAGTTAAATATTTTCTACCTAAAAATGCATGTCATTTTAAAGGCTATGAGAGAATTTTCATTATATACATTTTCTTTTCTAGATTAACAGAGAAGCACACCAAAAGGTAAGGATTGGGGGCTTCCCTGTGGCACAAAGGGTTAAGTCTCAGCACTATGAAGCTATGGGCAGCCACTACAGCACTAGTCCAATCCCTGGCCATGGAGCTAAACCCATATGGCTCAGCATATGGATTACTGCTTGTAGCACACTGCTCCCCTCAGCAGTGTATTTCAGTCGATCTGCCTGTTCTGCTCCCCACTCTGTCTCTGGCGAATCCTCCCAACCCTCGCACTGCTGGCCTACATTACATCTCTTGTATGCATAAATAAATCTTGTTTTTAAAAAATAAGAATTAAAATGGAAAGGAAAGCAAGTAAATTCACACCTGTTAAATAATCTAGCCCCTCCAGAAGTTTCTTTTCTCTGGAAAAATCTAACGCAAAGTTTTCAAAGGCATCATTAAAATTGATGTCTGGAATCAGAACTTGAGAAGATACAGTTGCCATAGCCACCCTGGAAAAGAGAAAAGAACATCAATATATTTCAAAATAAGTTGATAGCCTTATCCAGTGATCGATTTCTAGCTTAATAAGGTGAAAATAAACAACGTGTAGGGCTTGATTTATTAACTGAAAAATATCTTATCTGTCCTTTTTCAGTAGAAACCATTTATATTTTAATCACCAGGAACCAATTAAAAGTTATACCATATTTACTAACATATGTTCATCCCTCAAACATACTCCCCCACCCTGTCTTGATTTTAAGAAGTAAACACAGAATTGTTTCCTCTCTGCATCATTTTCCATCTGGCAGGCAGTATCAAAAGTAGACCTCTGTAGGCTTAGCCTTTGTAAGAACAATTTGAGACATTTTTTTTTCTACCCCTCTATTTTTTTATGCAAAACAACAGCCATACTGAGGTTGGGATAAACTTTCCCCAAATGCTGTACTTCATTTGATCATTTACAACACACATTTAATTTTATTTCCTAGTTGCAGATAGTGTTATTCCAGATCATTCTAAGCATCTCAATGAGAGCAGGTTTATATTTTGTACTTCTTATTTTCCATAGTCCCTAAGACAGGTTAGACACATAATGATGAAATTAACTGATGAATGAGTAACTCAACAATACAACTGGAAATTGAACACTTAGTATATACGAAGCAATATACATATATATTTCTAACTTGCTCCTTATCATAATCCTGCGTGGCAGATGGTCTTTCCATTTTACTTCTTCCTTGTTTTTAAACATTCTTGTTTATTTATTCACAATATAGGATTTCTCCCCTCAGGTACACTCACCATAGTGACTTTTTCCCACCACCAAAGTACCCAGTTGTTCTTTGCATTTAATACATGAAAAAGTTGACATACAGAGGTTATTAACATGGCCAAGGTCACACAACAATGAGCAAGGATCAGAAACATAACTGAACACATGTTCATCAGAGTCCAAACACTGTACCCTTAATCATTTAGACAGTTCCTTTAACAAAAAAATTAAAATATGTTTCTGTATAATTTGGCAATTCTATACCATGGTTACACATTGGAGTGATCTCAAAGGGCCTTGACCAAAACATACACACCTAGACTTTTGAATCAGACTTAATGAAATCCTTGGACATACAAATAGCAGGATGGAAAGAAACGTTAATGTGGCAACAAAATGCAATTTAAGGGGAGAAAGGAGGACTGAATATAGGAAGACAAGAAAGAAAACTTTTATGGTGAATTAGCTGTAAGGGGGTGGGGTACTAAACATGCATCATTAGGCATGTATACTCTGCTATACATCTAACAATAATAGTTCTTGCATCTTTCTGAAAATAGCGATGTTTTAGTAACAAACTGCAGACCAGGATCAAGAAATGTATGACTAACTTAGCACACTATTAAGGTCTCTCATCAAGTAGCCAAACTTCTAAGATTTGATGAGTAAGAAAACAAGATCTAAGAGTTAAGGCAGAAAATTGGCATGTGAAATTTCTTCTTGGTCTCCTTAATGTTTCCTCCTTTACTTCCACACATCCATCCAATACTAAGTGCTTACATGTTTTTATTAGGGTTGAAACTGACATAAATTTTGGAGGCCAACTTGGCATTAAATATCAAAATAGCTTAAAATGAAGAATTCTTTTATACCACAGTCTTATTTGGTGAAATTTTTTTAAGGAAATAACTTGAAAAGTATGCAAGACACAACTACAATGTCACTCAACACACTGAGTGTAACCTAACTGTTCCAACAATGGGGACCAAGCTAGTTAATATGCTATATACATCAAAAGATGAAATGTAATGAAGTCATTGGAAATCCAGTTATACAATAATATCCAATGACAGGAGAAAGTTCATGCTATAGCATTACATTCCAAATAGGAAGTAAAATGCAATATTTAGAGGATGCCTTTATGTTCATGAATACACAGATATGAATACACATCTATACACACATATATTTGGGGTTACTATATCTAATATACTACACATTTTATATATATCATGCAACTTATACATTTTCTATATATATTTTATACGATCAAATGTTAACAATAGCTGTATGGTTAAGAATTAGTTTCAAATATACTTTGGCGTATATGTCAGTGTGAATGTGTGTGTCCCCATATTTAAGCAAAATACATTAACAATCTTAGACTATAAGCCCTTTTAGGGACAGTATAAAGAATGTCACTTATAACAGGAAATACTTCCCAGCTAAAATTCCATTTCAACCGAAGTCTTTAATCCTTAACATGATACAATGAAAAATGGTATAGAAAAGTGTTAGATCATATAAGAAACCAGTGAGAAAGACACAGACTGGGTAGGTGATTCTAAAGCCATACCACATATACTCATCTAGTCCACTTATATTATTATAGGTGATATCTGAGCATTTGAAAAGTTAGAGAGAGTTGAGAATCATGAACATCTATGGTAATGGAAGCACTGGGAGCTAATAAGTTTGCAGTAGGGAGAATGTATAATGGGAGAAGAGAGTAGCCTAAGACAAAATTATGAATGACAATAACATTAAAAATGTTAGCTGGAGGAAGAGTTGCTCACAAAAGCAAAAGAAATTAAAGGTAGAAAAAAACCCAGCAAGTTAGCTAAAGGCAAAGAATTTCAAGTAAAAATGCTCAGTAGTGAGAAATGCTAGTGAGAGATCAAGTAAAAGGAACAATAAGATAAAACAAAGAAAGGCTTTCTATACTTAGGAACACGTTATTCATTTGGTGACCTTGAAAAGAATATTTTCAATGGTGTGGTAGTGGGAGAAGACATTTCAGAGGATTGAAGAGTGAGTGAGGATAGTTAAATATAATGGTTTAAATATTTGTTTTATCTTTGCTCTGATGAAATTCTGCTGAAATGACAGCTACAGAATTAAAAAGTAATAGATCATTAAGGACAAAGAGAATGGAAAAAGAGATGCCAGCAAGTAAGAGTTCATCAATAAATGCTTGGAAGCTGGAAAGACGTGGATGAGTGGTAAGCAACATAAGGCCAGAGAAAGTCAGATTGGGAAGCCAATCATCAGGCCGATTTAGTACCACACACAACTGAATATTTGTGCAAGGAACAGCTACAACCCAGGTCCAAGAAACCAGAGACTACTCCTCTCCCACCCTAGCAACAGATGCAAGGTTTTCTTTCTGCAGATCTTTCACACTATGCTAAAAGACGTGTTCAGACTCTCAGTTCCCTTTCTCTGTTTGGTTCCCAGAGTGGTGGCAGTCAGGCTTATTGACTTTATTCTGCCGGAAGCAGCAGATTGGTGGATTCTTTTTATGGGGAACTGAGCCAACTGAAAACACCTACAGATCTGACACTTGGGATCTCCTTAATAAAAATCGGGCATTTTACCATAAATCCTACAGGAAAGTTGCAAAGTAACAAACTGTACCAGCCCCTCAGATCTTCAGTCATCTTTTAGTGTTTAAATGTAAATAGGCAGGCAAAAGCTTACCAGACATTTAGGGAAAGACAGAAATGAAAACAAACTAACAGAAAAGAAAGCTGGAGAAAATTAAAACAATGCAGAGTTTAGGACAAAACTCTGTAAATGATAAACATTTTGTATCCACAAAGCAAGGACAGAATGATAAAAAAAAAAAAGAAGAAGAAGAAGAAGCAAAAGCTGGTGAAAAGTAACAAACTTCCAGTTAGACGATAAATACTACGGAGGTAAATACAGCATACCTAACTTTCCTGTATATCACACAGCATAGCTAAGTGTGAATAAATCCTAAACATTCTCATCACAAAGAATTTTTTCCTTTCTCCTTTCTTTTTAAATTATATCTATATGAAATACAGGTTAGTTTAATCAAAACCATCAAGTTGTATACCTTAAACTTACATAATATCACTCCAATCATCTCAATAAAAGTGGAAAAAATGAGAAAAATACTTTAAAAGATGATTATGCCAGTGATAGTCATAGGATCATAAAGTTAGACATTTATACCTTCACTGTAGATTAGTAGTTTTATTTTTAAGGGAAAATGTTAATTTTTTCATAAATCATAGCAGCGTATGCCAACATTTTAAAAAATATAGCATGTTAAAATATGAGGCATTATTAGTTAGCCATACTTTAAAAAAAATTGATTTATTTATGCATACAGAATTGGGGTAAAGGCCAAAGGTGCAGGAGTGATGAGATGACTCACCAGAGACAGAATGGGGAGCAGAACAGGCTGACTGATGAAGTACAATGCTGAGGGGAGCAGTGGGCCAGTCAGGAGAGGTCTGCTGCGCCGTGTGGGTCACCTCTGGGGCAGGGATCGAATTCATGCTAAAGAGGCTTTAGCTTCTTAGCGCTGTGTGTTATTTAACCTGCTGCGCCACCAGGGAGGGCCTTTAACCATACTTTTATGTTATTAATGTACCAAATAACATGAATCTTGCAATACTAGAAATCTTCAGTTTTTAATGACTTATTTAGGAATATTAAAATATCATTAAATGGCCTTTCAAGACTGTAATATAATACTGAAAACACTCTTAGCTGACACATTAGTTGCTGACTACGACCATTTCTAAGTAAGCCTTTCTGTGGACATGGGTTTTAATTTTTTTCATGACTAAATCCTTAGATAATCCCTAGAAGAGCCCCGGGATAAAAAAGGAGATATATGTTGAACTTAATAAAGTCCTGCCAAATCTTTTTCCAAAATGATTTTTCATTCCCACCAGTAATATATGAAAATTCCATTGCTTAATATCCTCAGCAACAGATTTGATGATGTCAGTCTTTTTAATTTTAGCTATATAACTTTGCTATCCAGTTAGGGTTAGGATTAGGGTTTTTAATTTTACAACTACTACTTAATGGTATCTCATAATGATTTCAATTTTCCCTGATGACTAATGATGTTGGTGCAATATTTGAAATTACCCTGAACATACAATCCAAGACAGCATTATATATATGTATATATTTAAATATTGAAGGCTTTATATATAAAATCAAAAGATCTTCTAACCTCTGTAGCTAGGCATGTTTTTTTTTTTATTTTGCTTGTATTATTAGTAGCTATAAGTGTCCTCCTATGAGGAAACAAAATATAATTTAGAAAATACAAAGATTTTTAAAAAGCTCTTATAAATATGAATGCCAAATTAAAACTGCAATAGAAGAATTGAATGAAAAATTAGGAAACATGTAACAGAAACTATGAATTGTCTACAGTCATATAAAATAGGAATCAAATGATTATTAAAAATTAGAGGGACTCGGTGATGGGAAACCCACAGGGATTACAATTGAGATGAAAAAAAAAGTACAAAATGATGTAAAAATAAACTATTATATTATAAAAAAATAGAGGGAAAGCTTAATTATGTCCAACATCTGACTAGTCCCATAAAGGAAAAATAAAGGGGGAATAAATTATTAGCAAATAATACAAAAAAGTTTCCCAGAACAACAAGTCACTAGTCTTCAGATTAGAAAGACCCACTAAGGACACAACAAAAATGAATGACAGAAATGAATGACAGAAGATTGAAGGTATACCCTTAGAATTTCATACTCAAAAATCTAGCTCAAAGTCAAAAGAGCAGGCATCAAAATAAAAGTGGAATTCTCAACATGTTAGAAATTAGAAAACAACAGAACCATGTTTTGTTCCTCTTTTCTCCCTTGAGAATTATAAAAGAAATTTATTCCTAACCTATCAAATGAGAACATTTTAAATAACTTTCAGGAGAAAAATCCCAAAAATTTACTTCTCACATACTCTTTCCTAGGGAGCTGTAAGAAAATTTGTTTCAACAAAGCAGAGCAAATGATGCATAGTGGGTAATCAGACAGAGATGGATGGAGTCCCTAATTAATAGCACAAGTTAAGACATTCAGAGACACTAAGTTGCCTGTACTTCTCCAAGAGGAGAAACCTGCATGGAGAGAATTCTGGAAACTTTCAGAAGGCTCCATGCTAATATTCAACAGAATACTTATCAACACATGCAAAAAATTACCCACTGACAGCAGTGAGCTGAAAAAATATACATATATATATGAGAGGGAACTACTGCTGGTTCTCACACAGGTCTGGGAACAGTGTCTGTTCCACCAGTCAGACTGGAAAATTTCATGCTTCGTGGGGCACTGATTAAAGTACTCAAAGGGTCTGCTTGAATAGTGGGGTTACTAGACTAAACACTGTTCTGATTCAAACTAACAAGTCATACAAGCCAGACTAGAAAATGAAGATTAAGCAATCTTCAAATAACTATGTCCAGAACATATGCAAGAGTACAAAAATTGTGTCATCCAATATGATAATTTTCACAATACTTGGCATCCAATCAATTTAACAGATATGCTCAAAATCCAACCCAATATACTAGACATGCAGAAGCAAAAAAAAAAAAAAAATACCACCCATAATGAGAAAAAGAATTTCTTTCTTGAAATTCACCCAGAACTGACCAAGATGTTAGAATTACCAGACAAAGATATTTTAACTGTATTCCATATGTCCAGAAAGCTAGAACAAAGGTGAAATATGTTAATAAGCTATATGGAAAATCTCCAAAGACCCAAATTGAACTTCTAGAGATGAAAATGACATTATCTGAGATAAAAATATAACCACTGGAGAGATTAATGGCAGATTAGACATTACTGAAGGAAATGGTAATTGTATAGCATTAAAATCTAACAAAATGAAACAGAGGGAAAAAAGACTAAAAAAGAACAAAGCCATCGGATGGCCTCAAGCAGTATAATGTAAATGTAATTGGAGTGCCCTAAGAGAGGAAGAAGGTACACTATTTACAATTTCTGAATTATGGAAAAAAACTAAGTACCCAAAGGTAGATGAGTTGGTGAGGAAGATGTGGTATATATACACGACAGAATACTACTCAGCTCTATTAAAAGATAAATTCTCACTATTTGCAACAACATGGATTATGCTAAACAATAAATCAGAAGAAGAACAAGTATCAAATGGTGTCACTTATCTGTGGAATATAGAGAAACCAAGGGTAAGTTATAGCAAACTAGTAACAAACTCTATAGTCCTGACTGTAGAACTGAGATTACCAGAGGGGAGAGAAAAAAAAAATGGGTAGAGGGCACAATGGACTACAGTGGGGGGCTATGAGTACCTTAGTGGTTGGATGGGGCATGGTAATGTACACCTGAAGTGTGTGACTCATACTCTAGATCTTATATAGTGTTGTAAACAAGTTACTGTAATAAAAAAAGAAAATTACCCAAAAAAAGAAATAATGGCTGAAAATTTTCCAGATTTGCAAAATTCAAATACTAATGTCTACAATTAAATTGAAAAAAATTGCAATATGAGGATATTATTTAGAAATGGTCATTTTAATTTAAAAAAAAGTAGATACAGATTGGAATCAATTGGCTTTGCTATAAAAGTGTAGATGACAGTACTAGACTCTATAGGTTTGAATCTTCCCTTTGTACATTACTAGTTGGGTGATTATAGACAAGTTACTTAACCTCTTTGAACCTCATTCATTATTTGTAAAATATGGATAGTATCTATCTCATAAGATTTTGTGAGTATTAAATGAGTTATACTTCTAAAGCCTAGAATAATACTCAGCACAAAGCAACTGCTTATTATCATTATTGTTATTATTACCATTATTATTGGAAAACAGAATTGGGGTTAAGAAGGAGTTTGCTATTTTTTGCATTATGACTATTAGAAATATTTAACTTTCAACTTTGGACAAGTATTACTTTAATACAAATAACTTTTTATAATAGTTTATTTTTACATCACTTTGTGCCTTTTTCCATCTCAACTGCAATCTTCGTGGACTTCCCATCACCAACTCACCTGTGTGCCATCACCATAGTCTCGTGCACTCAGCCCCCGCCATTTTTTATCCCATTTTCCACTCCATCCCCATAAAAATGACTCTGGTAAGAGTTGTTTATTATTATTATTTCCCTCATTCATTATGCTCCTGCTATAAGTGAAACCATTTGGTATTTTTCTTTTTCTTTGTGGCTTATTTCACTAAGCATGTTTCCTTCCAGCTCCATCCATGTTTCTGCAAAAGGAATGAGTTAACCATTTTGACTGCTGAGTAGTATTCCATTGTGTTAATACAAATAACTTTTAATTATTTAAGAAGAGTAAATTGGAGGTAAGGACATATAAAGTATTTTAAGATGTTGCTATAAAAGAAATGGATAGGGCTAAGGCTAGAGGGGTATGAGACAGAGGAAAGTTATGCAGTTACTTTTAGATAGTAGATAGGAGGCCAACTATAGAAGGGGAGAAACTGAAGCCATAGAAGAAAGAGGGCATGTGGCCAAAGCACAAGTGAGGGGACATTTCTTCCATTATAACCAGAAGAAGGTGAAAATGATGGCTGTAGACATAGACATGTTTCATAGTTTGTTATGAGACTATGAGTAATTTACCATTTCATACTCACCATACTTGAAAGAAGGTAAAGTCATTTGCTAAGCCTGAGTTGGGAATTTGGAGGTGAGTACAGAAGATCTGAAGTAGCCATTATGGAGACAAGAAAAGAAGAAAGCTAACCAACCTGAAAGCATTTCAGGTCACTACTATTGAGGGCTCAGGTGAGGGAAGAAGTTAGAAGCCATAAACTTTTGGTACAATAGTACCTAGCTCTTTGATTATGTAATTTTTCTCCAGCAGGGTTGTGCAACTCAAACAAAGACATGGAAAAGACAAGAAATAGCTAGACTGATTCAGGGTTAGTATTTTACTAGGGTGGTGTGTTAGAAAGTACATGACACAAAGGAGCTCGTGCTATTGAGAAGGATTAATTGAAGTGAAGATGGTAGATAGAAGTCTGCACTTAGAAATCCCAATGTAGTTGAAGAATAGATGTATTTGAAGAAAAGCATATTTGTAAGTTCAGGGGTTGAAGTGAGAAAAGAGCAAGTTTTATTTATGATTTAAGTATAATTCGTTTGCAATTTATTGAGGTGACGTTGGTTTACAGTGCTGTATTTGATTTATTAAAGTGTAATTCTGGATGGCGAGGTTTAGCATGTGGGCCTTGGAAGTGGGTAGATGCAGTGAAAGAGGTGAGGATCACTGAAAGAGCGGATGGCAAGGAGACTTGACGGCTACAGTAATTGGCATTAGCCATGTTGATGTTGCCAATGTCACTCAGAATGATGACAAAAACAATAGAAAGAAAGATTGAGAATCTAGAGCAAAAGTCTTCATCAAATGAGAGGGAGGTCAAATCTAGAATAACAAGCCCCTGTAATGCCTTGAATGAAGTCTTGGTGGCTTATGCTGAACAATGTTCACTTTAGACCACTGATTATTTATGAATGGTGTATAGATGGGCTTCTAATGATCCGTGAGTCCTTTGAAATTGTATGCAAAATAATATGTATATATGCCTAATATGCAGTTTTTCCTTAGGAAGAGGGTTCATGACTTTAACCAAAAATTTAATAGGGTAATGAATGAAATAAAATCTAAGAATTATGGCCTTAGAAATTTACATGAGGAATAACAAAGTGAAAGCAATATCTAATGTAGATAAGAAGTGGACACACCCATCAACATGGCCACAAGTTTCTCTGTCCCCACACCAATGCCACCATCGACAACTCCAGCCCTGAGTGGGCAGTGGAGAGCTGAGGCATAGCTAGGATGTCTGCATAGTCCTGCATTATTGCTGTCGGCTGCAGAGACAGAGAAAAGAGTGCCGGAAAGCCACAGGACAATCTACCACTGAAGCTTAGTAACCACCTAGCTAGTAAAATCTGTAGGTAGCAACTAGCACACATGTCTGACCAGAATAACAGAACTTTAAGCTGGTCTCTTTTCATAAGAACAGGTAGTCAAAAGTATATAAGAAACTCACCGCTCAGCAATATTTTTTGCAGACTGGAGAAACCGTGCTTGGTCATTTTCTTTCAGGATATGCTCAGCTTGGTTGATGAGAACTGTTGATCGTTCGAGACACTGGCGGCAATTAGCAACTTGCTGTGCCAACTTTCTCAGTTTCATAACCTTAAGGAATTAAAAAGAAAAATAAGATAAAACATCCAGTGGTTAATTAAAAACGATAAAACAACATGAAGATCTGCTTCAGTGATTCTAAAAATAAGGCCTATTAATATCCCACAGTTCTGTCCTCACCACTCACCTTCTCACCCTACCCTCTACGCCTGTCTTGCCAACCCCTCCTTCCACCACCTGCTGCCCACTAGTCTACACGCTTATGCTGCAGCACACGTACTATGTATTCTTCTTGTTGGTTAGCTACCTCCTCTTTTATTAATAATATTAATTTTTTGGATTATAAAATTAATGCATGCTGACTATAGAACATTTAGAAAATAAAAAGTATAAAGAGAAACCCAACAAACCCTGGAGATCCCTTGTTTACATTTTGTCAATGTATTTTCACATATATGCTTTTAAAAATATTCCTTATAATTATCTACATTTCCACATATAGATTCCTCTTAGTTTTTTTAAGTACATCTGTGTGTTCACAGATTTGTGTTCTTGGAAATTTCAATTCCTGTGGTAGTTGAAACCAACCAACATGGCACAAAGTCCTGGTCAAAACCCCAGGTTGTCCTAACTCCTCACACAGCATGCACAGCATGAACTTATAATCACTACTCTGAGCAGCAGACCACCATGCCTAAAACCATACAGCGGCATGGAGGATCACACCTGACCGTCTTGACCAGGATCCTTCAGTTCCCAGGCTAGAAGCCTAGACATCTCTTTCCTTCATCTTTTATATCTAATCAGTCAATGGTTCTGATCATTTCCTTTCTAGCAATATCTATTCTGCACTCCCTTCCATTTGGGCTGTTGGTTTTCTGGCTAAATTTTAACCAACCTCATAACTTGTTTCCCTGACTTCAGTATCATCCCATCCTGATAGACTGCATAGAACTCTGCCGTGTCAATCAATCTCCTTCCTTTCTTACAAACTAGAATGGCTTCCCAATGCCTTTCACAGTAAGCCCAGAGTCATAACACCAGCATTCATGGTTCTTCCACAATTCTGGCTCACCTTTCCGCCATTTTTTTCCCTTTTTCTTTTTGCATTATCTTATATACACAGGAAAGCACCCAAATCTGAAGTGTACAACTCAGTGACTTGGGGGGACATATATGTAAATCAGGTAACTACTGAGGTCAAGGTAAAGAATATTTCTAATGCCCCAGGAATGCATCATTTTTATTAGATTCACAGTACTAGGCCAAACATTATTTCTTCTTTGCCTCTCTTTCTACCACCTTACTTTCTTCATGATCAAGAGCAAACCTGAATCATTGGGATAAAACTTTGACACTTGTAAATTCAAACCTGGCTTGGCTGGCTTTACCTTTGTCTCTTTGATTTTGACAGCAATCATTTGCTTCCTCTGCTGGATGATCTCTACCAACTCGTCACATTCTTCCATAAGTTTTGCCTCATGCATAGCAGTATTCACCTGCCAAGAAAGTCCAGAGTATTACACAGTGGTTGCTGCCTTTGTCCCCTGTTGGCTCTCAAAGGTTCGGACTGACAGCTAAGCATGCACAACTTCTTCCATACCTCCCTCATAAGATCCACTCCTAGAAGAAGGGTAGAGATGATGATATTAATGATGCAAGGGTATTGAAGCACCACAGATAGGAAGCTCTCCAGGCCTCTGGTAGATCATGATGGTTAATGGAAGCTGGGCAGAAGGACAGATGAGATGGGGGCATGTTATTCCCACTGCGCAAGTCCCTTCATCCCAGCACCCTGTCCTCCTGCTGCTCTTTTGGAAAAAGGTAAGGAGATTTAAAGTATGTCAGGGAAAGAGGACCCCTGTCCACCGGCATGATAATCTTAGGATAACATTGGAACAACATACTACTACCATCCTAACAAATTTGTTTTCAGTTTCCCTTGTTCCCTTCCAATTTTTAAATATATGAACATGCTGCTAAATATTCACATTAAATACATGCATGCACAGATATAGTTTCACTTAGTCACCATGTCTTAGTCGGTATTTCTCACCTATGGTCATTCAGTTTCTAAATACTTTTCCTACTTTGGGATACTGGCTCTATCAAAATATCTCCACTGTTCAGTCAGAGTGGGGTTGAATAAAAAATACTACTATTTTTCATTGACTTTTCATGTACTGATTTGTCTTTTCCATTCCACTACTGTTGACATTACATGACATGAAGCCCCCAGAAGGGGCTAAAATGAGACCAGGGGATTTTTGGGGTGCCCAAGCATAAAGAGAAGGTAAAGTAAGCAACCATATTTTAAAAGCAATTAATATGCAAAATTATTCATAAAGATTATTTCATGTAATTATCACGATTTTGTAATATAAGGGCCATTTATTTGTTTCACAAATGGGGAAACTGAGGCTTTTAGTGACTTGCTCAAGACCACACAGCTAGTAAACAGTAAAACCAGAATTCAAACCGAGTTCTGTCAAGTGAAACCCCTGGGCTGGCTGGGTGGGCAGGCGAGGTTCAGTTCCATTTCAGCAGCACACAGAGCAGTCACACAGGGAAGCACAATCATTCCAAGAGTCTATTCAAGGATCACTCGAGCAGAGTTCTAGAAGGCTGAGGAATAGACAATGGGTTACCTGAAAGCACCAGAACTCTAGGACCCAGACGGGCTTTATTAGCAGGATAGGACTGCACTTCCAGTTGCTAATCCTGTTCAGTGGGTTCCTCTACATCCTCGAAGCCCAGCAAAATAACTGTCACTGGACCCTGCTTCTACTTTTATTCTCTTCATTCCCTGATGACCAAGTTTCTGTTTCTCACTTAATTGAAGTAAAATGTATTTGCCGGCCCTCCCTGGTGGCGCAGCGGGTTAAAACACAGCACTAAGAATCGAAAGCCACTTCCGCAAGAGTTCGATCCCTGCCTGCCGGGGAGGTTACCACATGGCGCGGCAGACCTCTCCTGACCCGCCCGCTGCTCCCCTAGGCAGTGTACTTCGTTGATCTGCCTGTTCTGCTCCCCACTCTGTCTCTGGTGAATTCTCCCACTGTCCCTGCAACTCTGGCCTGTACCCCAGTTCTGTATGAATAAATAAATCTTTTTAAAAAAATGTATTTGCCAAATGACAACCTAATTTTCTTTTTTTATTTCTACTTTCCAGGGGAAATGTGACAATGAGAGCTTCCATTTATTTGGAATAAGCAGCCCCACACAAGCTGCTTCAACTTTTTCCTGAGACCTCATTCTTTCCCTAAATTGAATCTACCTTTACAAGTAGATAATCTTATCCTCTCAGGGAATTCCTACTCATGTAAGAATACGCAATTCATCTAGTTTGCCCCGTTTCCTTCTCGAGAGTGTCAGGAAACTTAGACATTTTGCATTTATGGTGACGTTTTGAGGCTGCCAGTGCATGGCCTTAAAGCTTTATTTTTCTTCCTATTCCTGCTATCCTTCTCGGCTAGGCCCTGTTCACATCATAATGGCCTCATAAATCAGCCTCAGGCTTACCATTACCCCCGTATGAAAAGCACACTCTTGCCTAAAAAACTTCATCTTGACAGCCAGCTCCTTAAGGAAAGACTATATGACTTTGTTTCCCCAACTGTAATCTGTACAATGCTTGACATACAATAAACATTTGAAACCTGAAACATTTACTGATTGATTTAACAAAATGAAAGATATCAATTAGCAAACATTAGAAGATATACAACAGTAAATGTATTTTCTTGAGAAAATGTAGATTGAGGGAACCAGAGTGGGGTTTAGATATCAGCATGGCAAAGAGAGAACAGTCAGGCATAATTAATAGAGCATAAAGTTGGCTGAAGAGGCAAAAATCCCAAACTAGAGGTAAAACAGTGACATTAAATTTTTTCCATGTCAAGAAGCAGCCCGACGGGGCCGGGTTCTTAATGTTTTCTGAACAAGAAATACAACAGGGAAAAACAGTTTTCATGATGTGAGTAAAACAACTCAAATTGCTTGAAAGGCACTTTGAAAGCACTGGTATCCTTGTTTGTAGTTTTCTTTGAAAAAGCAGTGAAGGTTTTCATTTCCTTATTAACTCTTTAAGTTAAAACAACTGGCATCAACTTGTTAAACATTCTTATTGGTTCAATGGTTGGTTGGTTAGTTGGTTGCTTTGCTGAAGATTCTAACTATCTGGCCTTTGCTCTTTGGTTAATGGGTTTAACTGAATGGTTTTGTCTGTGGAACAATCTATCCTTCTGAAAATGCCATTAGAGTAGTCTTGGCGACCTACTTGTGTAAATCTTCCCACCCCAAAAAAGGCTTTTGGAGGGTAGTTTATGATATTTCATACTATAAATCTGAGTATCAATCTTCAAAGGCCTAGGCACTGGGGAATGTAGATATTTCTGTTAAGACTCCAAGCTGCTCATAAAAGCGCATTAAAGTTGCACTGAAAACCAGTCCACATACTGCAGAGACACGGGCCCGAAATCCAAAGAGGGCTGAATGTGGTACCATAAGCCCTAGACGCCCCTCCAACACACCATATTCACTGGTGGTGAACCCTTCCAAACCACTACCCCACCTCCATAAGGAGAAACCACAGACTATTGCTCCCTGACATACAGCACCATCTACTGGAAAAGTTGAAGCTCTACACCCTTAAAATAGTTGAACATATAATTGAAACGTATACAGCTAATAATTGGGAGACAGTAAAATACAACAAAAGGCATCTTGAATTTTCAGAGGAATACTGCACCACACAGAGAACACAAATCTCCAGAAATCAACCACAGAAATACAGAAGAACCTTTTTTCTGTCAGTTTCATACTTCAAAATTTCTATAAAGAAATTCAAAGGAAAGGAAGAAAAGCTGATAAAACAATATACAAGAAAACTTAGAAAAACAAATGAATGTCCTGAGATATAAAATTAATGACCAGAAGAGCAAAACTGAAGCTTTAAAAATGGAAGTAAAGGAGATGCAGCACATAAAAAGATCAATAGAGGAGATTAAAAACTTCTGGAGAAAGCTATTGAAGTAGAGTAGACCAGATAAAAGACTGATTAGTGACCTTGAAGATGACAATGCACAAAGAACTGAGGTAGGAGAAAGAGCTATATGAAGGGGGAGGAGGGAAAGAAACACCATTAAGAAAGGCAATGTGGCCCTCCCTGGTGGCACAGCAGGTTAAAGCACAGCACCAAGAAGCTAAAGCCACTTCCACTTGAGTTCGATTCCCGCCTGCCCCAGAGGTAACCACATGGAATGGCAGACCTCTCCTGACCCGACCACTGCTCTCCTCAACAGGGTACTTGGTTGATCTGCCTGTTCTGCTCCCCACTCTGTCTCTGGTGAAGCCTCTCCCTGCCCCTGAGCCTCTGGCCTGTACCCAGTTCTATATGCACAAATAAATAAATCTAAAAAAAAAAGAAAAGAAAAGAAAAAAAGAAAGAAAGGCAATGTAAGAATAATGTCTATATTAGAAGGGGAAGAGAGATAGGGATCAGAGTCCTTAGTTAAATAATAAAGGAAAACTTCCTGAACCTAGATAAAGAATCAAATACACAAGTCTATGTAACTAAAAGAACACTTCATTACGTAAATGTATTGAGACTACTCCAAGACACATAGTAGTGATACTTCCAAATGTCTAAGAGGGACTATTAAAGCAGATAACATACAATGGAACCCCTATCAGTTTTACATCTGACTTCCCTGAAGAAACACAATGAGCAAGAGGAGAATGCAATAATATGGTCAAAATAGTTAAAAGATGAGGCCCTCTCTGGTGGTGCAGCGAGTTAAAGCACAGCACTAAGAAGCTAAAGCCATCTCAACATGAGTTCAATCCCTGCCTCAGAGGTGATCCACATGGCGCAGCAGACCTCTCCTGACTGGCCCACTGTTCCTCTCAGCAGCGTACTTTCGTCAGTCAGCCTGTTCTGCTCCCCACTCTGTCTCTGGTGAATCCTCTGACCACCCCTGCACCTCTGACCTGTACTCCAGTTCTATATGCATAAATAAATATATCTTTTAAAAAATAGTTAAGTCTATCCTACAAGGCTCTATTTCAGATATAAATGAAAAAAGGCCTTCTTAGACAAACCAAAGATGGAGTTTGCAAACACTATACCTCACATCTAAGAAATGTTACAAGAATCTTTCATATCTAAATAAAATCAGATACACACACATACACACACACCAAATTAAGCAAGGAAATAGATACTACCAGAAAATTAAGGACAAATAGCAGTAGCAGGACTTCATATATCAAAAATCACCCTAAACATAAGTGAACTGAACTCACCAATCAAAAGGAAGAGAATAGCTGGTTGGATCAGAAAACAGAATTCAACTTTCTACTGTTTCAAAGAAATTCACCTGAGCTATAAAGATAAACGTAGGCTCAGAATAAATGGTTGGGATACAACCCTATGAGCAAATGGGGCCCAAATAAAGGCAGGGACAATGATACTCATATCAGATAAAATTAATATCTA